GGACTAGATAGCCCATATCACCACAATCCCTTGTCTTGACTGGTTCCTGGGGTTCTTTGGAAGTCAGTTATTTGGATTCTGGAGGACCCATCAGCCAGAGTCTCTCTTCATTGTCCACATTCTCTCAGATTTCCTATCTGTCAGCCTCTGAGCCAAAATGATTTAATAAACTCTAATGTGATCAGCCCCCATTTGGTCTTTGAGTTTTGGCATATCACTTTGACAGAAAGGGTGGGTCAAACTTTCTTAGTTTTCGCTTTAGACTGCTAAATCTACTTTACTACAATGTGAAAATCTTGGGGTACAAGCAATGTCCGGCAGGAAAAAATATAGGAATGCTACTCAGTCTCAGAATCCAGTACAGCACAGCTGAACTCAGGAATCTAGCTTCGAATTTTTTTCAGAAATTGTTTTACACTCCAAAGTCTAATTCCTTTAACCACCTAGACTTTAAGGGAATTGAGGTACTTTTTATTTGGGTTCAAGTTTCAACTGCTCAATTCAAGTCTTAACTTCCTTATTTAAAAAAAAATCCACTTATTTATGTCTTTTGCTTTTATACTTATTTCCAGTTATGCTCCTCCCTTCCTTCTCCCCTACTCACCTTATCTTCCTTTCTAACAGAGATTTTTTAAGTTCAGCAAAACTGGCCAATGCATTAGCCATATCTAACAGCGTTTGCAATATTCCACATCTATAGTCCCCTACCTTTTCAAGGAGGGAGATGTATTTTCTAATTAATGTTTTGTGGCCAAACTTGGTTATTATAATTATACAGTGTTTAGTTCTATTCTATTTTAATAGCCATCTGACACCTCATTACCTCTCCATAGGACTCCATGCTAGGTCCTTCTTGGCCTCAGTCATCCATTTTTCACTCCCTACCCTTGTGGCCTGGATCAAATTCCATTCAGTTCTGTTCCTTGATGTCTAATTCCTTCTCATCCCTTTTGTCTTAGACAGGTCTACATTTCTTACCCTGGAGCCCTCTCTGTGGTTTTTTTGCTCTGTTTCTCTTTATTGGGGTGATCTTTTACCCCAAAATGTTTATTTGTAATTACAAAACAATTGTAATTACATTAGGATTATTCTTTTCCCAGGCAAATGAGAGATTATTTTAGACTACATGGAATATTTAAGGAGGGTTTTTAAAAATATATATATATGTGTGTGTATATATATGTATGTATGTGTATATATATAAAATATATATGTATGTGTGTATATGTGTGTGTGTGTGTGTGTGTGTGTGTGTATAAAACCTCTCTCCTGCGTCAATCTCTGTTTTTGTGTCTGTCCCACCATCTCTCTCTCACCCCTGTTTGAGAGGCTTAATTAGTACACTAGTCTGAGATTAAAAAGATGTCTTGGTTCTACTCCCAGTTCTGTCATTAACTTGCAGAGTAACTTTGGGAAAATCATTTTATCTCCCTAAGCCTCACTTTTCTTTCTTTGTAAATGAGAAAGACTGGAACAACAGTTCTCAAACTTACTGGTCTTAGAATCCTTTTACACGCTTAAAAATTAGTCAAGACCTTCCCCTGACAATAACTTGGGTTTATATGGGTTATATCTACCTATGTTTACTGTATGATAAATGGAAATGTCTTAGTGTTATTATAAAAACTGTTTTGAGCCTCTGAAAGCGTCATGGTGCTGAGAGTCTCTAGACCACACTTTGAGAACCATTGGACTGGATGATTCCTTTAAACGATTGTATCAAACTCAGATAGAAATAGGGGCCACTAAACAGTACATAAAGATTCCTGTGGGCTGTATATTGACTTAGTTTTTTAAAATAGAATTTATTTGAACATTAAAAAAATTTGAATTGCAAATTCTCTCTCCCTCCAGCCCCTTCCTACCCATTGAGAAGATAAGTATTATGATATCAATTATATATGTGAAGTCATGGAAAATATTAGCTATGTTGCCATATTAGCTATGTTGCAAAAAAAAAAGTTAAGAAAAATAAAGTAAGTGAAAAAAGTATGTTTCAATCTACACTCAGAGTTCATCATTTCTCTCTCTGGATGTGGATAGCATTTTTCATCATGAGTCCTTTGAAACTGATATTGACTTAGTTTTAAAATGCAATATTATCTATAGTTTATTGTATTTTTAATTATTTTTTAAAAAATATTTCCTAATTACATTTTAATTGAGTTCAACCACACTTATGAGTGCTGTGAGCTGCACTTAGTCCATCAGCTGCACCTTTGACACCCTTGCCTTACAACACTGAGCTTCTATGACCTTTTGTAGAGTGTCCTAAATTCAGAAATATTTGTAGGGATAAAGCGGAGGAAGTAGAAGAGGAATAGAACTCTCTAAAAGCACAAACCAGTCAGTAATTCCACAAGCACCAATGAAGTATTTATTATGCGACAGGCACTGTGTTAAATGCCGGGAATACAAATAAAAGCAAAAACAGGGTCACTGCCCTCAAGGAGCTTACATTCTAATGGGAGAGACAACATGCAAACAACTATGTATATGCAGAATATACACAGTCCAAATGGGACCCCAGAAGGAAGGCACTGGGTGGAAGGAGGGGGCAGTGTGTGGAAATGATGAACCAGAAAAGGACTCTTGCTGAAGGTGGGATTAGCACTGAGTCTTGAAGGAAGCCATAAAGTGAAAGTGAGGAGGAAGAGCATTCCTAGTATGAAGGAGAGCCGAGGAAAAGGCATGAAGTCAGTATGTCCCTTCTACTAAAGCTGATTACCAAGACATCCCCAGGAAACTGCTTTGAGCAGTTTTGTTTTCACCACTGAGTTCATGCAGCCCTTTGGAAAGGAACTTTGGGCCCTCATTGGCCACAAAGCTGTTGTTTAGAAGGGGAAGTTGACAGGTGAATATACACCAGTACATAATATATACATACATACATACATATACACACACACACACACACACACACACACACAAAATGCCTGTAATGGTTGATGTACAAGTTGTTAGTACTAATGACCATCGTGTTCAATATCAACTGAATTTTATAAAGAAATAGATGTAGCTATGTTTCTTGGGACCTGATGATCTGAGAAGCAGAGAACCATATTGCTCTCTCATGACAGATTTTAGGTTGTCTCAGTTGGAAGAGCCTTTAGAACCAATATTTGGAGATATGGGTCTTCTCTCAAGGAAGCACAAATGGAATCTATTGACCTCAGGGTAGTTCCCAGATCCTTCCATACTAAATTAGATGCCCTTAAACTTTTCTCCTCCCCTTTTCTCTGAACTCCACCTCCATGGCACATAAGAACCTGTTCCAGAGACTAGCGAGGCCTCTTTCAGGAATTATGGTGCCAACACTTTAGTTGTAATGTGGGAGGAAGCCTTGACATCTAAGATAAGGTTGGAGATAAAGGCATACAGGTGGAAGGAGAGGAAAGGTAGTATAGATATAGAGAGAAAGGGGGAACTAGGCTGGCAGAGAATGTGTAAATTCCAGGATAAAGCCTATCAGATGATGATGAAGGTCAAAGAGGTCCAATTCCATAGTCCCAACCCTCCTCTTGCTCCAAGCCTGATCTTGTGACTCCAAATCTAGATAACCCCCATGCCTATAGACACTGGTGGAAGGGAATATCTTTGCAAAGTTCCCCATGCATTTTATCCATGGTTCTTTAAGTTTCCAGGGAGCTTTTGACTCCAAAATAAAAAAAGGACTACTTTTTGTTATTAAGTCATCCAGTAGACACAGAGAAAGAGGACTGTAAGCAGCTCTAGAACCCATGCTTCTTCTGGTAAGCCATTAGGGAACTGGGGAACTAAATTCTGGGAACTGTCTTTGCAACAGAAAATTAGGAAAGCGGGTGGCATGACCTCATGGTGTGGCAGAGTGCGCATGAGATATGGGGAGAGAGATGAGAGGATTGTCTACCAACAGTAGCAATCAGGTGTTGCCAACACTACCAGAACCTAGTCACAGCACCCATCTTCCCTGGAATACTGCCAGGGGAAAATCCTGAATCTCCAACTTTACCCCTTCACTTCTGGTTTCCCCTCCAACCATTTGGAGGAACGTAGGGGATTGGAAATGTTTATTAGAAAGAGAATTACTGACATATCCATCCTCTATATTTCTTTGAACCTGGATAGAAACTTAATAAGGAAATGAACAATTAACAGGGAGAGATAGCAAGACCCCAACAATCTTCCATCTGACTATATTTTTAACCCTAATAAGAGAAAAATAGACTGCTAGAGCAAGAAGAGAATTTATGGGTTATCTAGTCCAATCTCTTTATTTTACTAATGAGGAAACTATGACCCATAAAAGGGAAGTGACTTGCCCAAGGTCACATATTGAGACAATAGCAAAATTTAAACTCACCCACGTATGAGTTCCAACTCTTTGTCCAGCTACCCTCCTGTCTACCAATACTTCAACATTAAATATATTCCTATTCCTAACCTGAGTCCCTAATACAGGCCCAAGAGGTATCTCTTACCCTAACTTTAGGGTTACTATCCCTAAAGTTATCCTAATACCTAATCCTAACACCAAGCTATAAGGCAGACCTCTTAACCTGGAAGGGTCCATGAACTTGTTTCATACACACACACACACACCCACACACACACACACACACACACACATATAACACACTCACTAATGCACCATAATTACCATATATATATCAATTATAATGAAATTGTATTATCAATATTTATATAGATAACTTTATTTCAAGATAATTTATTTTATTTTATGCATTTAAAAACATTATTCTGGGAAAGGGTCCATAATGCCAAAGAGGTCCACAAAAGAGGTTAAACTATATAGCCTTACTATAAAGGCAAACAAGACCCTCCTCAGGACCTTCAAGTCCTTCAGTATGATCTATCCTGGGGGCCCATCACCTACCTCAAATTCCTTGAGTTTCCTGAACTAATTAATCCTGGTAGCTTGACTCTTAAGGAACTCTAACCTTTATTGGATATCTCTTCTTTTTTTTTTTATTAATTTATTTTGATTTACCAACCATCACTTCCATAAACTTTTGAGTTTTAAATTTTTCCTCCCTCCCTCCCCACCTCCCCCCCCAAGATGGTGCATAATCTGATATAGGCTATACATATATATTCCTATTAAACATATTTTCACATTAGTCATGTGGTAAGAAGAATTAGAACCAATAGGAGGAACCACAAGAAAGAGGATACAAAACAAAACAAAAGTAAAAAAAAAAAAAGCAAATAGTATGCTTCAATCTGCATTCAAAATCCATAGTTCTTTCTTTGGATGTGGATAGCATTTTCCATCATGAAACTTTTGGAGATGTCTTAGATCCTTGCATTGCTGAGAAGGGCTAAGTCTGTCAAAGTTAGTCATTGCGCAGTGTTGCTGTTATTGTGTACAACATTCTCCTGTTTCTACTCACTTTGCTTAGCATCAGTCCTTAAAAGTCTTTCTAGGTTTTTCTGAAGTCTGCTTGCTCATCATTTCTTAGAGCACAATAGTATTCCATTACATTCATATACCACAACTTGTTCAGCCATTCCCCAATCGATGGGCATCTCCTCAGTTTCCAATTCTTTGCCACCACAAAAAGAGCTGCTCTACATATTTTTGTACATATGGGTCCTTTTCTTGAATATCTCTTTTATTAGAAAAGTTTCTCTTTTCCCTGCCAGGCCTGAGCCATTGTTGAAGGCTTAGCAGGGACTCTATACAATCACTGGATGGTGGCTTGGCCAGAGTGGATAGAAAACTGATCTTAAAGTCAGGAAAATTAGGTTCAAGTCCTACCTATGGTGCATATTGGCTGAGTAAATCACTTAACCTCTCAATGCTCCAGGCAATTCTAAGACTACAGTGTCCATTGCAGAACAGATGGAGAGCTGTATAGGTAGGACCTCTCTCACTTGGGAGTTCCCTAGATCAATTTAATCCTAGGTCCAGTCTTTAGCACCTTATAATTATTAGAGAAAGAGTAAAGTTGATGATATATGTGACAGGGTACGAAAAAGCAGAGAGCTAAACCAATATGCCTGGCTGTCCTAAACTTCCTCAATTACCCCCTCAGGAATAGTCCTGGCCTCTGGAAGTCTGGGATGGCCAGGAGCAAAGCTGGAAGCGTCTCTCCACAGCTGGTTTCGGATTCTGGGTTTGCACCCATGTAGCTTTAGGTAGTTTAGTTGGCTACTCTGGGCCTCAGCTTCTTCACCTGTAAAATGAGGGGGTTGAGTAG